ATTATTCTGTGCTATTTGAATTTTATCCAGGAGCGTAGCTGGAAGACCCACCATAAGAGCATTGCAATAGTCCATGCGTGATAGCACAAATGCAGACATCAGCCTCTTTGTTGCATCAATTGTTAGGAAGGGCCTGATGTGACTAATCCTGCGCAGCTCTAGAAAAATCGCCTTGCATAGCATGTTAATATGACTTTCAAAAGTTAGTCTTCCATCTAGGTAGACACCCAGGTACCGCACTGTTTGAGCTAACTCAATACGCACACCTGAGAGAGTAATGGATGTAGTGTTATTTGCAGATTTTTGCTTCTGAGCGGTCGCGATGGGGAGCAGCTCAGTCTTATCATCATTTAATTTGAGCTTGTTTATGGTCATCCAGTGCTTAACCGACTCCATTGTCTTCTGTGTCATACTGAGCAGCTGAGGGAACTGAGAAGGGATCACGGATTGATGAAGTTGTGTATCGTCCGCGTACATGTGATACAACATGTCAAACTGCCTGATCTCTGCGCCCAGGGGCTGAATGTACATCGTGAAGAGCACCGGGCCTAGGACCGAGCCCTGGGGTACTCCGAATTCGATATTAGATTTCTTCAAATGAATCAAGTAGACCACAACACACAAAGACTAAAAGGAGCCAGAATGATCAAATACATTGATCGTGGGTCCTCAAAATTTAAAAGAGTTTTTTTCTTTTTTTTTTTAAATTCAATTTATGAAATAAAGTAAAGTTAGAGAGCGTGCGTTGGCGAATTTGAGACCCTTCGTTTATGCGTCTGGGGTGTCTTATTATTGAACTGCTAAGTTTCTCCTAAATGAATTTACCCTGTTCTCAGCAGCCAACGTCAGCATGTAGAGTACAATATTCGATTTGTCTTCGCGGTCTGTGTGAAACATTTTTGGAAGCGCAATCAAAAACTTTTGACCAAACGCCGCTACAGGCTCTGAAACAAACAACAAACAGGCTGCTCTGAAACAAACAGCAAACAGGCTCTGAAACAAACAACAAAAAGTCTACTCTGAAACAAACAACAAACAGGCTCTGAAACAAACAGGCTCTGAAACAAACAACAAACAGGCTCTGAAACAAACAACAAACAGGCTCTGAAACAAACAACAAACAGGCTCTGAAACAAACAACAAACAGGCTCTGAAACAAACAACAAACAGGCTCTGAAACAAACAACAAACAGGCTCTGAAACAAACAACAAACAGGCTCTGAAACAAACAACAAACAGGCTCTGAAACAAACAACAAACAGGCTCTGAAACAAACAACAAACAGGCTCTGAAAAAAACATCAAACGTTTCGTTGGCTTTTATTTAGTCTCAACGTCGATGAAGGAAAACGACGATGAATTCAAATGAAAAGAAGCGAAACAAAGAATGGAAAAACCTGAAGTTAAGAAAGCAACAAAACTATGAACGTGTCGGCAAGAAGCCTTCATCTGCGAACGGACAACATTAAAAACATAATTAAATAAAAAATAAATACTTAGCTGTAATGTGGTATCAGAGCGGGCATCAAGAGGAATGTGACAGAGCATAAGTAGGTGAGAGGGCAGCAAGAGCAATGTGACAGAACATTAGTAGGTGAGAGGGCAGCAAAGCAATGTGATAGAGCACAAGTAGGGGAGAGGGCATCAAGAGCAATGTGACAGAGCATAAGTAGGTGAGAGGGCAGCAAAGCAATGTGACAGAACATAAGTAGGGGCGAGACTAAATGCAGGCAAACAGGGACGGAAGAGAAGAAAAGTAAGTCCACTGCGACTGGTCGTGTCGAGAAGGGGGCGGATGAATACAAATGCCTGTCAACTATCGATAAAAATACACATTATAAGAATTTGAGGATTTTCAGTTTGGATGTTGAATAAAATTAGGGTCATCGGTAAACTTAGGTATTAAAAATGTTTATCTCCCCCAGTGGCGTAGCGAGGCAGGTGCGGGGGGTGCGGACCGCACCGGGTGACACCATTTTAGGGGTGACACCCGATTGAAAAATTGCATATTTACAGGGCACACATTGCTCGGAAAAATCGAGATTCATAAAAGAATAACCGATCACACATATATTTTTCACAAATGTAACCAATCCAAATGTGTGCTTTATTAAAGGTTCAAGGTTGATGCTATATTGTGGACTTATTTTAACAAGAAAAAATCGATCATAGAAGTTTGGGGGGGGGGGGGTGACACCATGAGTTTACCGCACCGAGTGACACCAACCCTAGCTACGCCACTGATCTCCCCTATATGTTTCTATCACTCCAGAGAAGAAACGAGACACAAGCGGTGAGGTGGCCATGTGCCATTCTCTGACACACCACCATGGGCGCCCGCAGGTAGGGGCAAGAAGGGGCACTTGCCCCCCCCCCCTGGATTGATTGGATAAAAAAAATTTAGACAAAAATAGACACAAAATTTATTAAAGTAAAGAGAAAATAAAGAGAAAGTAACTAAGCTGATGTCCTGTCCGTTCGTTCACCATATAAATACGCTATAGTAAATTAAAACTATATTAAAAATTACTAAAAAATTCCCCCCCCC